GCGGCCCTCCTCACTGAGGGAACACGCGCCCCATCCCCTCGGAGGTAACGCGGCCCCCCTCACTGAGGGAACACGCGCCCCATCCCCTCGGAGGTAATGCGCCCCCCCGCGCTGAGGTAGCGTGCCCCCTCCTCGCTGCGGTGACACGGCCCGCTCGTTCAGGTAGAGCCCTCCCTTGCTGAGGTAACGCGGCCCCCCTCACTGAGGTAACGCGCCCTCCTCGCTGAGGTAGCAGCTCTCCCTCCCTGAGGTAACACACGCCCCATCCCCTCTGAGGTAACGCGGATCCCCTTTGCTGAGGTAACATGGCCGCCCCCCACCAGTGTGAGGGACTGCACTGGACCAGGGCCTGCCCTGCAACCTCCCTTTCCAGCATCTCTGATACACTTTACCTCCAGCTGAATCGTTGTAGCTGATTTCCCCCTTCTCCTCCCTTTAAAACAAGGGGCAAGCAAGGAGGCTGGTCCTGAAAGAGTCCCCCTGAGGCAGATGTTGCAGAGAAGTTCACTACAAGTTATTGACTGCTACAGCCGCACGTGGCATCACTAGAGAAGGGAGGTCGCTGAAGCATCAGGTCAGTTACACATAATGTTTTTTGTTTGTTTCCACTGCTTAATCCCTTATATTTTAATATAATGTTAAAAGAGTAAACAGCATTATTACATATTCACAGCTGATTTCATACATATTCACTTTTGGGTCTTGGCAGAACTATACTATTTTGGCTGCCAGACCACATGGAGCATCCCTGAGCTGTGTAAGATACGCTTTAAAATGCAGGTAAGGATAGGAGCAGAATCATTCCTTTAGCAGCAGTATTCAGGTTATTTAACAGAGCTCCATGTCAATGAAGTCCTCTGTCTGCTATCAAAAATCCTACAGTAGTTGTGGCTGCACTGGAAAGAACATGCCACAGGGTAAAACATGGGGGGGAGAAGGAATGGCATAGAAAGATTAGAGGCAGAAGGACTTGGACCACACTGAGTGAGAGAATGCAGGCCGAGAAAGGAAGAGAAGAAAGCATACTACACGGTTTGGATGGAGTAAGTGTATTACCCAGCTGCAAGGACAAAAAGTCCTACCACGATGAAGAGAAAGCTTCAGTTTCTATTCACTCTTGTGCAGCGCAGGGTCAAGGTAAGAACAGCTGCCTCCCAGGTAAACCCATTCTCAACCAGAAAACTGTAGGAAGGAGGAGCTGGAATGCACTAGAACCCTGCGGTTCTCACCTTTATAAGCAGGGGGATTATGTAAAATTTTAAAAAACATTCAGATGCTTTGTGGAATATTATTTCTTTGGTTGTCATGCAAAGGAAAATAAAAACCACTATTTTTTTTTCCTCTACCTCAAGTTATCTCCTATAGAATTATAGCCTGCACTTGCAGGGATGGGTGAAAGGTTGTTAACAGCACATGATACGATGTCATTTGACAATGCAGTATTTCTGTAATTAAGACATCCTAAATACTTGATGAGGTTCTCAGCTACAATGCAGAACAGAAGTGTATACTTAAACACTGTGAGAAAAGCAAAACTTCTGATGATGGAGAAAAAGTCACAGAAGATATAAAATATAGCAGTTTATTAAAAATTAGTGTTCCACTTCCATATAACACACTGATATAAGAGAGAAGAAACACTTTATTCAATGGTTAATAAGGTTACTGCCCTTAAAAATTAGACATAAAAATAAAACAAAAGCCTGGTGCTGTCAGAAAACAGCTTGATCATAGAATGCAAGTTAAAACAGGAAGAGCAATCATCTTTGCTACCCTCTGGATACAAAGTAGTACAGAAATTTAAAAAAGTATCATTAATTCACCATTTGTCTCAACATACCTCTGAGGTAGGGGAGGGTATTATCCTCGTTTTATTACAAACGAGGAAAGTTCTGCACCTACACAACTGATTTGCTCGATGTCACCAAGTTAGTGGCAAAGCTGGAAATGGAGCTCATGCCCTCTCATCTCTTAATAAAACCCCAGTTATCCTAATGTGAAATCTGGCTTTACAGATTCAATACCAAAGATTGTTGGAGGATATAATCTAATTGTGCTAGACTCATTCAATTAAGCTAAACTTTATCAGTATTTCTAGGAGTCAATAATGTCTGAAAATCTAAAAAAGCCAAGAAAAAAATCTAAACAAAAACACAGAACGCAGTTTCTCAATAACATTTATCAGTCCCTCCAATGCCATTCTAGGCTTACTTTATTTTTAATCACGCAGCTCAAGAGATTAAAAGTCAGCAGAATGGAATGTTACACTAGAATATATGTCTCCTGTTCCAAAATCTAAATGTCAAGGTGAAGGTTAAACATTTAGTTTTGTCTCCGCATTTATCAAGCAGTTGAGGCTGCTACCCTGCAGTGCTAACTCTTTGACATTACTACCTAATTAACACTGATACTGATGAGCTGCTTAACATAAGACATTCACTCAAGGCACCAAGTCTCCTTCTCTGTAGAAGGACTGAGGCTGTTCTGCAGTATGCTGGGACTTCACTGCAGAAACACAACCCTCTGATACATGCTTGTGCATAGATGTCAGTTGATGTTTTCCACTCCTTCTCTCAGCTTGCTAATGCAATATGCGAATGCATAAAGTTCACCTAAATTCAAGAGGGGACAGTAAGGCTTCCAAAGAAGCTCCACCAGCTAACGAATACTAGCTGATGTAGTTAAAATTCCTACATTACAAGCAAGGCAAAGAGACACTTCTTCCTAAAGGCTGCTTCAAATTCACAGGCACATCAGTAAATACATCCATTGGCGATGGTCTCTGTAGAAAGTTATGACAAGTCTCATAATTTGAAGACATAAATGCATATAATTAAAAATCTATATTGTCTTAATGTCATTTGTAATATTTAAAGCTAGCAGAGAAGATTCTTAACAAGCAGCACTGTTCACTTTCTCCTAAAAGTGGACAGCTTACTACAAGTAAATGAAGACTGCACTTCTAAACTGCATTATCCTTTTCAGTATTTCACTTATTCTCCACCCTATCAGGTTGTAAAAATGTGTTCTAAAATACATTCTTGTCAAAACAAAATATATCCCTTAAGTAGCCCTAAAGTAAACTTCCCTAAAGTTTAGTGGAATAAAAAAAATAAAACCCACAAATGTCTGTCAAAACTAATCTCAGCAGGTGCATTTGCACTAGCACAAAGGAAAACCACCTGGAAAACAGACAACTTGCAGAAGAGAAGCTGATGGTTATTAGTGTTTTAAGGATGCCTTTCACAAAAAGGCAGGTGCATGACAGTGGCACTACTTCCTGGATTTCAGGAGAATTGAGTGAAAACTCTCCAAGAGTAGAGGCCTGGCTAGGCAATAAAAAACTAACAGCTATTAGTGCTTTCTTAACCAGTCTCAGCAATCTCGTTTTCAAGAGCTTAACCCAGTGGAAATCACTTTCTGTTCCCTCTTCTGCAAGCATCCATCACTACTAAAACATTTGCCATTTTAATTTTAGCTATGACTTGACAGTATTAATCTAGGTTTATTTTCTTGTCAGGCTTTTACAGTAATTTTCTTTAAGACTTTAATATAAAACTTGGCACTAATCGTAGGATTTTGAGCCTAAACATCCTGGAACCTGAAGCTTCCTTGTTCATTTACAAGAGGGACATAAAAACAGTTGTACAGCATGCTGCACCGGGTATTACATAACCATAGGTGCCAAAGAGCAACCATCAGGTAATAACCCATTTATGACAGCAGTAGTATTTGAATCTGCAGCCTAGAATGGGAAGATAAAATTAAACTTTTAAAAATACATTAGTAACTTCTCTATATGAAATGCAAAACCATTTCCAGAGACCCAGTCTGGGGAACAGCTTGGATAACAACTTTCTGAAAGATCTTTTTAAAATTAGCACCAGACCAGACACTCAAGTGTTTTTGATGAATCAGAAGATCGTAGTTAAGATTTAATGTGTTTTAAAGACATCTGTTTTGGAAAAAACAAATAATAATAATAAAAAAACCTTTTGCATGGGTATCAGGGAAGAAAAGTGGGATAAATCATATGTGCATTGTATTTGGTTATTGCATAGCTTACCATCTCCTTCCATGGGTTAACAGGACATAACATTTGCTAAAAGCATCCATGTTCAGATCCTCTCCACCCTTTCCTTTAATATCTTGATTTTAAAACTGGAAATTCTATTACACAAAATCCCAGAAAGACAAGTGTCTGGAAAAAAAAGTTTTCAAATCACACCATCTTATCCAGCAAAAAGAACAGTATTTCTCACAGGAAACAAGATAACTGGGAAATCACGAGATACGAAAGACCAACTATGGTCAGAGCAGTGTTCAAGATTCAGCTCCCTGTGCAGCAAACAAAGAGGTCAGTCTCTATTTAAAGCATATGGTGCAAAATTACCATGTCAGTTTTCAAGCCTTTGGCCTTTAGTGTTACTTTGTGTGTACAAATGCCCTTTAGCTTCTTTAGGGAGCCAAGAAGCCAGATGAAGGTTAGTCCACAGAGTCCAATTTATCCCTCCCTACTTCTTGATCTCACACAAAGAATATCAGTACAAGCCTTCAGAGCAAACCCTTCCTCCTCTACTGACAAGCTAGTGGCCAAGCTGGCGGTCATCATAGGTGCTGTATCTCTTCACATGTATTCGACGCACTCGGTCACGAAGTTCAAAACCATCGTCATCTTCACTGTGAGCAGCCTGGCTTCGGCTCCTGCTTGTTGCTTCCAGCAGAGAGTTATCAGGAACCCGTGGTGTTTCATAAAGTAAAACATTTAGTGTTTCCTCATATATTCGTGCCTCTGGGAATTCAACCTAAAAAACAAAACAAAAGAAAAAAAAACAAACAAAAAAAAAGCATGTGTCCTTTTCCTGATCAGCAAGGGATAAGATGACTGGTGACAGACAAACATGTTAATTATTTGATTCATAGTAAAAAAAAAAATAAAAAAATAAAGGAAAAGAGAAAGATGAGCAAAGCAGGCTATTCCCTAGCTCAGGATTACTCCATCTGCTAGATCTCTTACTTCTTCTTTTAGGTTGTGATTCCTTCTTTTCCCCTCCTCCCCTCATAACCATAAAAGACGGGTAAGACAAAGTCCAATACCTTAGTCTGCTTCTTCTCTGTGGCATACACTATCGAAGTACAGCAGACTTCAGCAAGTTTCCGACCCTGTCCATAGAAAGACCAGCAGCAGATTTCATCCCCTATAACATCTTTAATGAAGAGAACTCTGCCGTTGAATCGGAGGGAGAGTTTGTCAAACAGTTCTATATTCTTCAGCAAGTTGTCATCTGAGTTACTGAAAGATGAAGATAACAAAAGAAGGAATAAGGTTTCTGTAGTTTTGCAACTGGCTGTTTCTACAGAATTAGTACACCTCTTCCACCACAGTTCTAAGTGTTGATCTAAATGTAAAATAGGAATAGCAATTCACTTTTATAGGCCACGCAAAAATGAAGAGGGTAATAGCCTAATTCACATGAGCAAGTATTTCAGACTTTAGAGCTCAAGTTAGATAATTAATGATAACAGCACAATTTCCCAAATCGTTACAGCAACAATCTACAACTACCTCTTGACCAATGCTCAAGACAAATTATATCACATGCAGATTTTCAGGGGAACACATAATTTAGAATAAGTTTTACTGACAGCTAAGATTCAGGATTTAACTGCTTTTCAAGCAAGATCCAACTGTTCTTAAAAAATATATAGTTTTACAGCTTTGAAGTCAAAGTTATCAAAAAAAAAACACTTCTAAAATTTAAAACACTCTTCTTAAATAACACCAATGTCCAGTTGGACCAACTAAAAAAACCCCGAAGCTTTACTCCTCTAGTATTAGCTTGGATGCAGCTGCTTCCAAAGTATATATTCTATATCCTTTTCTGTTTCCTTTTATAGGTGGTTGGAAAGTTACATGTGCATATATGAAAGTCAGTGAAAATATTGTTACCTTGATAACAAACCCAATCTTACCAGTTATATTTTCCTCCCCTCCCATAGTCAAATGGAAACTTTCTCATTACACTGCAGAGAAAACTGTCATACCTGGTATAGGAGTATTTGTTGTTGCTTCTATTATAAAGCAGCTTAACAACGGGCTATTGGGAGAGAAATTAAAAAAAAAAAAAACAGGTAAGTTCTGTCTTTGAATACATTTAGCAGAAATTCACTTTCTGACTAAATAGTTGTAGAAAAGCAGTTACTTTCATTGATGATTCTATGAGCCTCTCTTCTTCTTTTGGAGATGTGATGATAGGGATATTACAGACAGGTTCATACAGGTCTTTCTTGTCCTGTTTTAAAGAAAGGAGAGGGAAAGGAAATAAAAACTCCAGAGATATAAATGAGGAAACTAACATCTGCTGCTGCTGCTCTCTTCTCCCAGCCATATTCCCAAACCCTGTGATGCAAAGGAAGAGCCTTATGTTGCTATAGTAACCACACAGAATTACCTTGATCTGCAAACTAGAAATACAGCAGAGAGGTTTCTTATTCCCAGAAGGCAGCAATAATTGAAATATTGGCATGCAAGAGGACGTCTTTCTTAGCTATAGCAAAGACTCTGAACTGAAGTCATACTTAAGTGGGTTTCTTATTCCGGCATTTTTTGAAGAAAGGTTAGTAAGAATTTGCACAAGTTATAATTAACTCAAAACACTGCAGTATATTAGAAGATCAGCCACTGCAAAGTGAACATTTGGCAAGAACAGCAGCATGTCACTGAAATGGACTTCATCCCCTGTGGTACAAAAAGCAACCAGCAATAGCTCAAAGTATAGTCTGTGACTGTAGATTCCTCATGCAGCAAATTAAGAAAAGCTCAATAACTAATGGGAAAGCCTTGGAACATTTCATTTGTTCAGAGGAAAAAAACAGTTTTAAGTTCCAAACCAACAGAAAAATTCAGAGGCTACTTCTTGTAGCCTCTGAAAGAAGTGCAAAGCATGTTAAACCTAGTATGTGAAGGTTTTCTATATATATAAATATATATACATATATATATATATATATTTATATATATATATATACACACACACACACACACACACATATATCACACACTTTGAAGTCATCCTAAGTCATTTTTGTAAGCAAAACATCCATCAACAACTACAGACTACTTCCATTTCTTACCTGCAGAGCTGCTTGGCACATATCTACTAAGCCCTGAATGAGATAATATTTTGCTTCTGCCATCAACTCTTTGACCTCCTGTCTGTGTTTTGGCAGTGCAATTGTGTCATCTCGGAGATAGTTTAAAATTGCTCCGAAGTGCTTCCCACAACGGTCTATGAGGATCCAACCTAAAAAAGAACCAAAAAAAAAAGGGAAATCTGTGAAAACAGGTGGAAAGCTTCTGAAACACCAACAGGTGAAATACAGGTCACCCTCCCTCAACCTCTTCTCCACATGCTACAAGCCTCATTTCTAAGGAATCGTTTTGTTAGGGATTACCTTTACTCTCCTAGTAAAAAGCGTAGTACACAGAAACATTCACAGACATTGCTGACATCAGTTTTCCTCTATTCTCTATAATTTATTATGGATTTTTATAATGCCAGGATTCAACATGCAGCATACTTTGACATAATACTTGACTGGTGACTTAACACTGTCACAACATAGATAAGTATTTTCAGCCAAAAGTGGAAAATATTATTGGAGAAAAAACAAGCAAACAAGCAACAACAAACACAGAATAAAAACCACAGAATCCAAGCCATAGCAAAGCAAGGCTGTTCAGAGTTTGAAGGATGAAAAATGAATGCCCTCCCAGTTTGATTGATGTCACTATACACCACCCAATAAATGAGAACCCAAATGCCATATGTTCAGTCTTGATAACAACGTCAGCAATCTGTGTACCAGATATGATTGTTGCAGAGAGAATCAGTCCTTCCTCTAGCTTATTTTAGTGACAAAAGCACACATTTTCATAAGGCACAGAGGCTTGTTAGACACCCAGTTCCCGTTGGCTCTAACGTTCCAAATTAGTTTCAGAATACATTTTTTCCTTGTATCTTTCACTCAGGGTAATCTACTAAAACTGTTGTTTCACAAAATTCTCCACATCACGAGATACTCACCTTCCTTGTCCGTGAGCACTTCCATCCTGCCACTGAACATAGCCTTTAGCATCGTGTCATGCCTGGTCAGTACTTGAACCGTAGTATAATATAAGGAGCCCCCAACATTTAGCCGCACATATTTGTTACCGAGGTTGCCAACTTTGAAGCTGCAAGTTTTGGGCTTGGATTCTGCAGCTGGACAAAGACTGGTTAGACACGTGTCCCCTGACATCTCCTTCTGTAGGTAGATGACAACTCTACAGAGCGTGGGTTTGATGGATTCCGCCGTGATTGGTGAAGAGTCACAAGTCACGAGACGAGTAGTGCAGGGCAAAAACAGTCGTAACCCACTGGACCCTTGAAACAGAAACATGTAGGATCAATACAGAAACCTGGAAGTACCATTTAAAACAAAAATAGGAAGCCCACGTTAAAGAAGAGATGTATGTTTTTAAAACAACTTACAAAGCAATATAATGACTGTTCAGCACCACTCAGTTAAGTTATGGCTGCACTAATGTTAATGAGGCAAGTTAAACATTTCTGGACTTCCTTTTGTTTGGTCTTCAGCCAACACAACAATCACTATCCAGTCCTGTAGTCCAAGTTTAAGTAACAGTAAGAATTCAGCTGCCTATCAACTTCTCCAAAGAATATAACCTATTCTTGTGCAGGTTTAAAACCCCTCGAAGAGCCTTCTGCAACTTTTCTGACTGGAGTATGTACAAGTTGTTTGGGTTTGTTTGTTTGTTTGAACTGGAGACATTTACAGAGGTTTCAGCAGTCTCTCTCAAGTGCCTCAGTGCTGAAATGCCAAATTATAATGTTCTATTTCTCAGTACATCTTTTCACTCAAAATTACTAAGCTTCTGTCTTGGAACGCCAACCAATCAGCATAATATTGATTCTTCTATTTTAGAAGTGTCCAGTCTTTGGAATATGTCTCACTTAAAAGGCAGCTAAGATTTGCAGCTTCCTTCCTTTCCCCAGTGTCACTCAATTTATCTTTCCTTTCCAGAGGAGCTCAGAGTGGAAACAAACTAATAAAAAGAGAACAAAACTCAGTCTAACAGGCTGGAGCTAAAGTTCTTTGAGGTTTCTTACCTATCCGTTTAACGACCGCTGTCCTCAGAAACATTTTGCTGGCTTTGCCCCTCTCATTATGCTTTTTTCTATTTATCTATTTCAGTCTACAATCATCTGTTCACTTCTCTGTTTTGTGCTCATGGTACATGAGTAACCTTTTATAAATAAATATTAACTGTATTGCTGTCCTTCCCACGTTCCTCTTCCTTCTCACTCCACCTCAGCTTTCACCATGGAAAAAGCCCACACCTCTCCCTCCATCTGCTACAGCAAATTTCTTAGCAGTTACAGATGGCATCTTAAAATTGCCAGAGATCTGAATAGCTACTGAACTTAGAATATCTAAAATAACGTTATTCTAATTAAATAAGCACTACAAACAAGGCCCATTAAACAATACAAAAACTTTGCAGGTCGTGAAGACACAAACTAATTCTAATAAACCTAGTGCCAAGAGAGATGAGTTTATCTGAAAATGCTTTAACTGGACTCCCACCAGCTGTCATCACTCTTCACACCAGCTAATCATCCTAGAACACCTCAGTAAATTTACTTCTACATCTGAGCATCATTTTAGACAAGCAGTCCACTGACAAATACAATCCAAGACAACTACATATTACAAAATAATTTGGCCAGAAAAATAATTTCTGTCTAGTAAGCAGCTAGCAGCAGCCAAAACCTGTGCAGATGCTTGTGGCGTTATAAGAAGTGTGAGAAGGTAAAAGAGCTACAGGGCCTGACAGAACTGGCCAGAACTTCTCCAAATACACTGCATGTGATGCAGCCCCTCCTTAGCAGACAGAGGTGTTTGCTATAATCTTTTACAAGTAAATCAAGACTAGAAGCAGCTACACTTACTATTTCACAGTTCAGACCTTTGGTAGAAATAGAAGTATAATTTAGATCTATACATTTATCATAGATGCCATATCTTGTTTTAGTCCTTAGCGTGTTTTTAAGGACAGCCAGACCGATCCTGTAGCAGGAGAAGGAATTCCAGACCAAGGAGAGGTCTCTAACGTCAGACTTGGTCTCTCTGAACATATCTCTTTGTTAGAATCAAGTTCACCGTCAGTATTATCACTTCAGGTGTTGAGCTACTTCTCGGACTAAGCTCAGTAAAGCAAAATAGGAGCAAAACTTGCTACCCAGCCAATCCAAGTACGAGCAAATACTGCTGTAACACATTCCTGAGCTAATGAGCTAGCAGGCTTTCGCTGTAAACAGTCCTGTAACCTCTAATTACACCCATTAAGGTGACAGGCGATTTTCTACGTCCTTTCCTTCCTGCTTGTGCAGGAAGCAGATGGAGACCGACAAGACAATAACAGAGCTGCTCGGACACTGTGTCAGGAAATGGGCCCCCGTGAGGACTTCCACAAAAAGAAATAACTGCAGCAGCTCGAGGGGAAACAAAAAGAGCCGAATCGCTTGTGAAGCGGCACCTCTCTCCCGAGCTCCGGACTGGATAAGGAGGCCCCGTTAGCGCGGGCTCCGCCAGGCTCCCCGAGCCGCGGC